GTGTGTGTGTGTGTGTGTGTCTGTGTGTCTGTCTGTGTGTGTGTGTGTGGTTACTCACTTCCTATTCAAACTAGCTTCCCAGGCTCTTTGGTGGAGGACAGCATGACCTACCTTCTCAGCACTGAGAACTGGTTTGCCAAGTGGGAACACCTTCAGCAATGAGATCTTCCCGCAAAGGGCGGTGGGGGCGGGAGCGAGATGCTACTGAGCATATCCACACTGCTGTGTGTCCTCTTTGGTCATCAGTGCGCGCAGGTTTGGGGGTTGCTCACCCACTCCCCACCTTCCCTCCCTCCCAGCCCCTGCCGCACACACCTGTTTTCTTTGCCATTTGGCAACAAGGATGGGCGCTCAGCCCCTGGTCGCTCTGTGCACACGTACGTGTTTCTTCGGGTCATCATGCTAGGGGGGAGGTTGTTCTGTGGGGGACACACCAAGGGGGGAAAGAGGTGAGAAGACACCCCTCAGCCTCCCCCCACCTCACTGAATCCTGCCACAAAGTACTTTTCTTTTTCTTCCAAAGATTTATTTTTATTATTTCATGTGTACAGGTGCTTTGCCTCCACGTATGCCTAGGAACCAGGTGTGTGCCTGGTGCCCAAAGAGGTCAGAAGAGGGCACTGGATCTCCTGGGACTGGAGTTACAGACAGCTGTTGGTCATCGTGTAAATGCTGGGAATCGAACCCGGTGTCTCTGAAAGAGCAGTCAGTGATCTTAACCACTGAGTCATCTTTCCAGCCTTATTTTTCTGTTTTAAATATTTTTTGTTTGAGACAGGGTTTCTCTGGGTAGCCCTGGCTATCCTAGGACTCACTCTGTAGAGAAAGCTGGCCTCAAACTCAGAGATCCACCTGCCTTTGCCTCCCCAGTGCTGGGATTAAAGGAGTGCACCAGCACCACCTGGCCCAAATGATTTATTTTTATTTTACGTGTGTTAGTGTTTTGCCAGCAAGTCTGTACACCGCCTGCGTGCAGTGCCCTCAAGGAGACAGAAGAGGGCATCAGATCCTGGGGAACTGGAGTTTCAGGTGATTATGAACCACCATGTGGTTGCTGGGACTCCAATTCAGGACCTCTGGAAGAGCAGACAGTGCTCCTAACCACGGAGCCATCTCTCCAGTCTCCTTTGTGTGAGGCAGGGGCTCACGCATCCCAGGCTGGGCTTAAAGTTACTACTATATACACCTGAGAGTACTTCTAACCCCAGGTGTGGGATGAGCGGTGTGTGCAGCTCCCCTGCAGGCTAGGCTGAGCTACGCTTCTAGCCCTCTTTCCACTTTCTTCCCCAGCACTGCCATGGGCTTGTCACCCGCTCAGAACAGTCCCCATATTTCCCCCTGACGCGCTCCTACAGATCTCTCCTGGTGTAGTTCCCAGGGCGGCTGTCAATGCCAGCTCAGGTGTGCCCTGCCCCCCCCCCCCCCCCCCCGGCACGCTGCAGGTGCTCCCCAAGCTGCTGAGGGCCAGCCTTGCCATCCAATACCCTTTTCTAAAGCTTGCCTAAAGTTGGAATTACAGGGGCTGGAGACGTGGCATAGTGGTTAAGGGCATTGCTGCTTCTGGATGGGGGGGGTGGGTGGTTCGGACGCCCTCTTCTGTCCTATCTTGGAACTGTAGGGATGTGCTCTGCCCGGAGAGCTAACAAGAATTCTCATTTTTTTCCCTATTCTTTTTTTTTTTTTTAATGCAGTGTGGACTTTATTTTTTAAGATTTATTTACTATGTATACAGTGTTCTGTCTGCATATATGCTTGCAGTCCAGAAGAGGGCACTAGATCTCATTATAGATGGCTGTGAGCCACCATGTGGTCGCTGGGAATTGAACTCAGGACCTCTGGAAGAGCAGACAGTGCTCTTAACCTCTGAG